CCTATAGAATGTGCGCGTGTCAAAATCCTATACAAATGCCCGAGACAGCCAATTTCGTCAACACACTTTTCACCATAACATTTGAACAGCTCAACCGATTTCGCTCATTCACTTTGTGTGGGATTTCTCTTGCAAATATCTGTTTGACAACTTACAACACATTGTCAGATGTATCAGTCAAATGCAAGATGTATCAATGAAATCGGTTAACCAGCAAACCAACTTTACGTATGAGCAGTGAGCAAACTTGCCAAAGTAATCATGCTGAAGCATTCTCAGTATCAATGGCGAACCTGCAGTGTGATATGAGACGTTCCGCTGTACATAGCAATTTAGCTTATACAGTTTACCACACACATGTAGGCTAGTAAACGAAGTAGCCCAGTCTGAAGCGTCAGGGATTGAACAACGCTTAAAACCCATTGTCTGCTGTCGGGATACTACCACAACACCACCAAGATCACATTCATCGCATTTGCGAGAATTTCATTTGTCCGACTTTTCAGACTGAGAGTTAGGGGTAGTATCCCTATATAACATGGCGAGTAAGAGCAGGTGTAAATCGTCAATTACAAATCTCCATGTACGTGTACACATTATACATCATTGAATAGCACTCAATTAGATAAGTAAGACAAAGCACGCCCCATTGAAAAATATCAATCCGTTCAATAGTTATGAAAGAAAATGTGACCCGGAAACATCCTATAGAATGTGCGCGTGTCAAAATCCTATACAAATGCCCGAGACAGCCAATTTCGTCAACACACTTTTCACCATAACATTTGAACAGCTCAACCGATTTCGCTCATTCACTTTGTGTGGGATTTCTCTTGCAAATATCTGTTTGACAACTTACAACACATTGTCAGATGTATCAGTCAAATGCAAGATGTATCAATGAAATCGGTTAACCAGCAAACCAACTTTACGTATGAGCAGTGAGCAAACTTGCCAAAGTAATCATGCTGAAGCATTCTCAGTATCAATGGCGAACCTGCAGTGTGATATGAGACGTTCCGCTGTACATAGCAATTTAGCTTATACAGTTTACCACACACATGTAGGCTAGTAAACGAAGTAGCCCAGTCTGAAGCGTCAGGGATTGAACAACGCTTAAAACCCATTGTCTGCTGTCGGGATACTACCACAACACCACCAAGATCACATTCATCGCATTTGCGAGAATTTCATTTGTCCGACTTTTCAGACTGAGAGTTAGGGGTAGTATCCCTATATAACATGGCGAGTAAGAGCAGGTGTAAATCGTCAATTACAAATCTCCATGTACGTGTACACATTATACATCATTGAATAGCACTCAATTAGATAAGTAAGACAAAGCACGCCCCATTGAAAAATATCAATCCGTTCAATAGTTATGAAAGAAAATGTGACCCGGAAACATCCTATAGAATGTGCTCGTGTCAAAATCCTATACAAATGCCCGAGACAGCCAATTTCGTCAACACACATTTCACCATAACATTTGAACAGCTCAACCGATTTCGCTCATTCACTTTGTGTGGGATTTCTCTTGCAAATATCTGTTTGACAACTTACAACACATTGTCAGATGTATCAGTCAAATGCAAGATGTATCAATGAAATCGGTTAACCAGCAAACCAACTTTACGTATGAGCAGTGAGCAAACTTGCCAAAGTAATCATGCTGAAGCATTCTCAGTATCAATGGCGAACCTGCAGTGTGATATGAGACGTTCCGCTGTACATAGCAATTTAGCTTATACAGTTTACCACACACATGTAGGCTAGTAAACGAAGTAGCCCAGTCTGAAGCGTCAGGGATTGAACAACGCTTAAAACCCATTGTCTGCTGTCGGGATACTACCACAACACCACCAAGATCACATTCATCGCATTTGCGAGAATTTCATTTGTCCGACTTTTCAGACTGAGAGTTAGGGGTAGTATCCCTATATAACATGGCGAGTAAGAGCAGGTGTAAATCGTCAATTACAAATCTCCATGTACGTGTACACATTATACATCATTGAATAGCACTCAATTAGATAAGTAAGACAAAGCACGCCCCATTGAAAAATATCAATCCGTTCAATAGTTATGAAAGAAAATGTGACCCGGAAACATCCTATAGAATGTGCGCGTGTCAAAATCCTATACAAATGCCCGAGACAGCCAATTTCGTCAACACACTTTTCACCATAACATTTGAACAGCTCAACCGATTTCGCTCATTCACTTTGTGTGGGATTTCCCTGGTAATTATCTGAGAAGTGATATCCCACAGAATTTCATTAAGTGAAATCGGTTGAGGTTTTTCAATGTTCTGGTGAAAATTATGTCAACGAAATTGTCTCTGTCCGGTATTGCGAGTTACTAATTTTGTATGTTGATGTTGTGGATATCCTCTTGAATTTTTGTATTAGCTAATCATTCGTCATCTACTAATGATCAATCAGTGTGGAGTGAAGGTATTGTGAATGAGATTGCCCGTAAACTGTTAATCTCTTGTGATAGATATTTTCAAATTTTTGGTTATCTAACGTCAAGCAACTGAGTGTACAGTGATGTTGTATTTGTCATCCTATGTCAGGAAATGATGGTCATTCCGTTATGTCAGTTAAAAGATATTTTCTTGACTGAGTTATCTTGGGCATACACTATATAAGTTCGACCAATATCTGCCTTTACGGTCCTTGCTGATTGAGTGTAGTTGTAGAATAGATGACAACTTGAAATGGTCAAACGAAAGTGTTTTACTTCATGAACTGCCTGCCGTTCAAGTTGGAACGTGTATGCGGATGCGGCCTTCTTTAGTCAAATGTGAGCTATGATTATGATATTAGGCTACGTAAATCAGAATCGGTCACAGTGGTAGAAATGAATATACGTTGGATCTTCTTTATGATCTACAACACCATCTTTTACTAGCACAAAACTTCCCGTTCTATATTTTCATATTAGTTTATCAATATCCAGTCTCTCTCAATATTGTCGCTGCTTCATTGTTCTGTTGTCTTCATAACTTTTTTTTAAAAATTCATCATGTCATATGAATGTGTTCTTGCAATTTGAACAGATTTGCATATGAGCCTAGACTTGTAATGATCCATACTGAGTGAATGAATGACTGAGATTTGATCGAGTGCATGTTCTTTGATTTTGTCTGATGTTTACATGATATACATAATGTATACTTTGTTTAGTGCTGTGAACTTTCAGTTATATATCCACATAGACTGTTGGAACCGAAGATGACTACTTCCAGATCCGATATTTTCAGTAACTACATCAATCTAAATCTATTGAACGGTGTATACAATATAGTTAGAAGTTGAATTTTACTTTGAATTCACAAAAATCTCATTTCTACTTATTCATTACACTTTCCTCATCCGTTTTCAAACACTTCACTTCTACCTAAAGTTTGTGCTGATAATGTCGTTCAGAGGAACAATAAAAGCTCTACGACCAAACCATCCAGCTCAAAGAATAAAACTTCATCAACACTCTACTTTTAATTGATCATGTCATGTTGATGTGTTATTGGTAACTTTGGAAATTGTGCATAGATTCACATTGATCAATACTGTTTGACTGGTATTTGAAAGTATTCACGTTCCTTTATTGAATGTGATATTTACTTGATAATATACACTTTGTTAAATGATGTGAGTTATAGTATAGTTCACATTATGTCATGTGTGTAGACATTCATGCAACAATTTCGCTAGTAAATCATTGTCAATTTACTTGACTCAGTAAGCCTAAACACAATTACTAACTGAATTTGTATTTACCAATCATTACTATAAGCGTAAGTTGTTCAAAAACTAGCAGGATGTGATCAGTTGCTTATAATTCTATAACTTAACAACATTGATATGAAAAATTTATTGCATTCATCTTATTGATATTTGCTATAAACTCCTAAATGAAATGACATAAGATGGTTTTCTGTTTCTGAGCCAGTCACTCATCACCATTATGTTGTATTATCATACTACTTTCAAAATCTAGAGGCGTTTAACCTGTTTTCATTGTGCTTAATTAACCCATGAGTCGAGATCTGAAAAGGTTCATTCTAAAACCTATGCGTTTTAGTCTTCCTTTCAGTTTTGGAGCAAACATAAGAATTGAGATGTTAACTGGTTCTTAGAGAGTTGTTAGTTATCTCATCTCAAACACAATGATATTGGTAAAAGCATGGTTTAAATGACTCTGAATAACAAGAATACATTCTAATTGGGATGAGAAGTTTGTTTTTTTGGAAAAATCAACACAGGAGGGCTATTCACAGAGATGACGGGTAAAAAACTTAGTCTCTTTGACAAATTTGTCTCTTACGTACCAATGCCAAGGTTGGACTTGAGCATTGAGTAGAAAGTTAATAATAAGTGTATTTCTTGTTAGATCCCAAAAATTGTATTTCTGACGTTTTGCGACTTAATGTAAGCTTCGTGATGTAGCGGTTAGCACTCTGAATCCAGCGACCCGAGTTCGAGTCTCAGCGAGCCCTCGTGCTTGCCGCCGAATGCCTTGCTACGGCCGACAGTGAGAAGAGTCAGGTCGTCCTCTCTAAATCCTCTCACATGCCTACGCGTATACACCCACTACCAGGGAAGTCCTACTCACTATCTTCGCGCGGCATCACTGTTGCTTACGAAATTGAGAAGACGAAAAGCGAATGTCCGACGCTTTAACCGGGTTGACGAGCCATCGAGGGGAGTTGGAAAACCACCATTCCAAACCAATGGTGTACATGGGCTGAATGATCCTGAGGAAAAAAATGAAGTATGAAGTTATTGTTGATCATCGGCTACCATGGGACTGCATCTCCTCACGATGCTCCACTGCCTTGTGGATTAGACCACCTGCTTCGGTTTGGGCACCCGGACAGCCTTCATACAAATCTCATTTGCTTTGTATGACGCATATGTATCTGGTGCCTCCTTAAACCACTATTTATGGGTTCAAATAAATAAATAATAATACTACTTGTATAGGTATCAGTAGCTCATATCACAATGTGAACAAACAATGGAATAAACTTAATCATAACATAATGTAAACAATACATCAAACAATATGCAAACATACATGTGATGATGATAACAGTACAATAATAATCTATGTATTAATTAATTTGTTTATTTACTTTTATAAAAAGTAAGTGATAAGAATACATTTTAATCATAAGTTACAATAGATGACTTGCACCTAATTTGTACCTAATTACTTTTATTTTTGTGTTTTCAAAAGAGAAAAAAACCCTACCTTGATAAGAATACAATTAAATATACAAAAAAGAGAAAAGAATGAGACCATTATTCATAGGAAGGCATGTAAAGAATACTCATATTGAGAATAACCACACAATGATAGATATATGTGCGTTTCAAGTATACGTTACGAAGTGGAATAGGCGTAAGTAAGTAAGTTGATGTATATATAAGTAATTAAGGTGTCTGTATTCAATAATGGAAAGTAGGATCATTTCTGAAATCATTATTGTACGTAATGAACTACATTGTTGATGTATGACATATTGGACACATACACATTCGCATACACACACTCTGAGAATGATAAAAACGTCCAAAGGAAAATTGTAAGTCAACACAATCAACTTTATATCATTCCTATGTGTAATTTTGTTTTATTATGGAAAATGTAATAAATCTGAAAAAATATACAAATTAAATCTACTATTATCACAGTCTGTAAGTAATGAAGAAGAAGAACAAGAAAAACCATGAAAGAAGAAAGAATAAAACAATTTCCATATAAATAAGTATATAAGTAATATATTGAAGTTATGGAAAATTATTGAAATGGATTGATATAGAGATATTATGATGACAATTACAATGATTATAGGTAGTATAGAAGCCAATATAATGCCCAATATAGTGCTAGTGGGCACAGCCTATGCTCCTCCACGAGGAGTAACAAGCGTAAGTAAGTAAGTAAGGTAGTATATAGTAGAATAATCAAGTTTTTTTAATGAACTGATGTGATATGCAGCATGGTTTCAGTGAACTATGAATTCCAAATAATAAATTGAACCAATATTTCAATCACCATAGTGTTTAATTTTTGTTGAGAACAAAAGACAAATAGAAAGTGGTTTTGTTTTTTTCACTCGAAATTTACACAACAATAAATACCATAACTGAACTGTAATCTCAATAAGGAATAACGATAAATGGAATGATGAAAAAGGCGCTTAAATAACAAAAAAAGAAAATTGCAATGCATATACACTATTACATGTACGTACAGATCCATATAAACAATTGTATGTATGTATAGCGGCATAGTAACAAGACCGACCAGTATCCATATAAACCTATCAATCTCTGTATACATGTATAAAATTGCATGTCTGTTGCATAGGTAACAAGATATATCCCCATATTAATCTTCTCTAGTTCGTCTATCTTTAATAGGAATTGATAAATGTAATGGAATTGTTGATGTATTATTTTCATGATTAGATATTTTCAATTGACAATGTTTAGAATGATCTATAGATCTATTTAAATTTGGTGTAAATGAATTCACATTAGGAATTTGAATTTCATTAGAAATTTTTATAAAACTTGGTCGATTCATTGGTTCATCATGCCAACAATGATTCATTAATGTACGTAACCAAACTGGCATTAAATCAGGTGCAGGTAATCTGTAACCTGACAAAAAAAGAAGTAGACTTTAAAGAAGAGGAAGAGCAAACTCAAACTAAATCGAATCGATTTTTTCAAAATACCTAATAAACTATCCGTTACATCTAATCAAGTGATTCAATATGAAGAAACTTCTCATGATGACATCTGTAAATGCTTGTCATTAGTGAAACAAACTTATTCTAAACCATCTCTCCATATGAATTACATTACCTGTAAATTTTCTAGACTCTGGAATAATCTACCACAATTACTCCCATTATTTGTTCGCTGCATTGATGTATATTGCTCCTCTGAAAATTCATTGAATGTTCTAGCATCCGTAAGTGTATCTTATTCCACAAGTGACATTATAGGAACTTTAAAAGTTTGACCATTATTATTATTAGTGTATTCCCTAAGTAAAACCACTTACCTGCTGTCACTTTATGTTAACACTGTCCCTAGCAACCTTAACTAATTTGAATAGTATATCACTGTGTCACATGACACACGCATTTGGGTACACCTGATTGATATATTTTGGTAATAACTGCTTTGTTGTTCCGTGCTCTCTGTTTTCGTTTTACTTTCTCTAGTGGTAGATAATTATCAGTAATTCGATCTAGCATAGGAAATGACCTTAAATACACCGTTCATAAATCGATAGGCTGTCCACTTAAGAAAAATTAAAAGTTCGCGGCTGATGCAGTGGGTCGCTATCATACATGTACTACCAAAACAATTATTGAACTAGTACACTTAAAACTTTCTTTTATCACATGTTTGTTCTGCATATCTAATGTTATTATTTATATCAAATTGATCATTCCTGTAAACTGGCGTGAATTCTGTAATTATTATTTTTAGAAGATATATATATATATATATATATATATATATATATATATATATATATATATATATATATATATATATATATATATATATATAATTATTATTGTTATTAAAATGTTAACAGATGAATAGGAAAATGTTCTACTTCACATTTTGATTTATACTGTTACATAATCGGAATAATTTAATTGAATAATTTATTTTGTCTTCGAACCAATTATCAGTGTTTAACAAAAGTTGTACCTTGGCTAAGGCCCTTAAATGCCCTGGTACGGCCGAGAGTGGGGAGAGTTCGGTCTCCCTCTACAAACGCTCTCACAAAGCGGCGTCCATACAAACACTCCAAGAAAAGTTCTGCTCACTGCCTTCTCGCACCACAGGTGTTGTTTACGACATTGAGAGGACGCAAAGCGAATGACCAGCGATTTAACCGGGTTGGCTGGTGGACGCGGAGAGCCCACCTAGGGAAGTTCGAAAACCCTCATTCCAAACCAATGGTGTAGATGGGCTGCACGATCCTGAAGAAACAAATGGCGTATGGACCTATTGTTGGTCACTGGCTACCATGGGACTGCATCTCCTCACGATGCTCCACTTCCTTGTGGATTAGACTTTTAGGTCAAAGGCTCCAGGTGTGGCACCCTAAGAAGACCACCTGCTACGGTCTGAGCACCCAGGCAGTATCACAGCGCTCACACAAATCTCATTCGATTTGTGTGGCGCACATATATCTGATACCCGCTTGTACCAATGTTTATGTGTTTAAATAAAATATTTTGTCTAGGTAAAGGTTATCCACTATACTCTATCGATTAAATGATAATATGATCAATAGTTTTGGTGTTTCATCTTTGCGTGTAATATATAATTTGATATAAATTTACTTAGACGTAAATGACGTGTAATCCATTAAAAAATTGGTTCTTCCTGGAGGATTCAAACCTTTATCACCTGACAATAGTTCTACTTAAGTCAACTTTATAGACACATTACTGAAAAGAGTAAGTTAGCATAAAATTCTATTCCAAATCTTCCTGCTAATTCTGTTCATTCAATGTAGTATTAAGAAACTTAAATAAAACTGGGACAGAAATTTATTAGTTATTATTTACCTGATTCAATCATATCCCTTGTTTGTTGATTAGACCAATTTCGATAAGGAACATCACCAAAAGTAAATATTTCCCATAAAAGTACACCATATGACCATACATCACATTTAATAGTGTAACGACCAGTTCGAAGTGCTTCAGGAGCTGTCCATTTAATTGGGATTTGACCTCGTTTATCACTTAACTAGAAAAAGATAAATAGCATTGCAATTGTCATATGAAGGAATAATTAAGAAAAACAAACTTAGTAACGACAATGTTATTAGACCATTACAGTATGGCTAAAAACAATAATGTTTAAGAAATAAATTGACATTTGATATTCTTGTGAAACTATTTAATAGTAATTGAATTATATATGACGAAAGGTGTTTCTGGCATAAAAATCTGTCAGTAATAATAATGAAGGATAGTGAATTCGGTCACTGTAACACAGAATAGATCATAGTACTCAAGTCTTTAACTGTGGCATTATAAGAGGAACGTTCATATTTCCATGGATGCATCAGTTCTTAAATTTGAAAAAAACACCATATCCATAAGTGTCAACTAGTACAAAATATATGATCAAGATCTTCTACTACTGACCAACCTTGTCTAATACAAAAAATCAGTAGTGAAATAGAATCTCCTAGTGAAATAATAAGCTAAAATCTCTCCAAATGTATTATATATATACCCGGATGCCCTGGTATGGTCAAGAGTGGGGAGAGTCAGCTCTCACTCTCCAAATGCTCTCACATGGCCACGAGTATACAACCACTGCCAGGAAAGTCATACGCACTGCCTTTTCCTGGCATTACTGTAGTTCACGAAGTTGAGAGGACGAAAAGCGAATGTTCGACGCTTGAACCGGGTTGGTTGATATGGAGGATCCAGCGAGAGGAGTTGTTAACCCTCATTCCAAACCAATAATGCATATGCGTTCCAGGGTGCCGAGGGATGAGAAGGCGTATGAACCAATAGTCGGTCACTTGCTAGCATGTGACTGTATCTACCTACGTTGCTCATTGCCTTGTGGATTAGACCTATAAGTCAAAGGCTCGGGGAGTGGCCTCCTAAGAAAATCATTTGCTTTGGTTTAGGCATATGTATCCGTCGCCTCCTTGTACCAATGTTTATGTTTGAATAAATAATATATGTATTTGATGAAAAATGAGATTTATGAACACTGATATTATACACATGCATAAATCTATTTATTCAACTTACTTCATATATATGCTCTTCTCTCGACATGCCAAAATCAGCTATTTTTAATTGACCATCATCAGAAATTAAACAATTTCTTGCTGCTAAATCACTGTTTCAATACAAATAGATTGTGTATAAGGATATAATACAAGAAGAAAGAATTAATTCGTAGAAAGATATGAAAGGACTTTAATCTCATAGTTTAAAGGAAGATAGAAAGTGCATACACTGACGCCATTGTGATCGATTCTGAGCCATGTCACACAGAGTCCCGAACCGTTGGTTACGATAGTCACACGGACTTCAAGCATGTAGTCTTCATCTACCAACATGGCTAATACTAGGGATAAAGTGGTTAAACTTGATGATTATCGCAAACACTGTAAACAAAATTTCAATATTCAAACCCAGTTTCAAGTAGTCATTCTTCTCCATATTCTATCGTGATTAAGACTGAATGAAATTCCACCAAAACACCAATTTATACTTCTTCGCACAAGCTAAAACACTGTTGAATAGATTTTTAGTAGCCAGAGATCTCACTCCATTCAGATCGTATAATTGATTGTTATTGAAATATACATGTCGCTAATCCTCGTATATAATCATCGACCTAATTCGAGCTAGTGAATAACGTAATTAATTAAATCATATAGAAGAATGGATTTCGAATATGTATATTTCATACAATCGTTGATCCAGAAAAACTATCGGAAGAACGAAGCGAAGAGAGTGAAGCAAAATGAACCACAGTGGAGAAGGCGAATGACCCAGCTTGATTTAGCCAAGCGTGAATCAATATTTATAGTCACACAGAAATAAGCTACAGATATGTGATAGGTAGGATAAGAAATACACACACAAACGCTCATATAAAAACACCCGAGGTTGATAAGTGAATAAATAACAAGGTCCGTCTAGAGCCCCTTCGGGGCTACTGTCTGTCCCAAGCTCGGATAAAAGCAGAGGGTTGGGAATGGGGTTAGCGAACTCATCCCGTAGAAAACTAACTCGCTAAAAAACTCAAACCAGAGAAAATTATTCAAAATGTGGTCTTGGTATTTTGTAAGCAATGATGGATAGTGGCTAGCAGTGGAATCCACGACGCGCGTTTCGTCCCATTTGGGACTCATCGGCTGGATGTACCTCCATCTCAGAGTTCAAAGTGAATTCATTTCTATTGAATCTACCCTCTTGAAAGTTATTAAAGAACGTATACTCCAAAACTCACTACAGGTAGTAGGAGGACGTTAGTTGTACCACAACAATCAATCTGTTTATAACCATTATCGGGATCGAATTTATCAAATATGAATTTCTGTATTGATATGAAATGAGAGTAAAATAAAACTTACCGATGAATACAATTTTTCGCTTCTAAATACATCATTCCATTAGCAGCATCTAAACTCATTTGAAGTAGTTTCATAACAGGTAATGCATTTTTTGATTTACGTAAATGATTTAAAAGAGAACCACCTTTACAATGAATACAAAGATAAACCAATAGATTAGAATAATATGAATCGTTAACTTATCAAAGAAAGAGAATTAAAATGATCCTTTCAAGGAAATGAATATGTAGTTCACTACTAAGTAGTATTAAGTAGTGTGATACGATATACACAAAAAAGGTAAGCATAGAATGATGGCAGTGGTGTTGTTAAGTGAATAACCCACTTCTATTTGACATATGTGCTGATAATATTGTCCAGAAAGATAGTGAAAGCCCAGAGAATGAAATAACAAGAAAAAAAGCTAGTCACAATAGCAGTTTCACCTGAATTTTACAGTAATTCACTCGCAAAGCGTTCAAACTTTCCCGTTGTTGATATGCAAGATTATATGAGTCAGCTACAGCATACGTGGAACTTTGACAGAAAACCAGGTACTACCTATAGTTTCATAGTTTTAGTTGGGTTCTGAACTGTAGATATAAGTGGAATTCGATGAAAGTATTGCGTTCTATTTGGAACCAGTTGGGAGAATGTATATGTATTGCAGTATTGGCATTCATAAACTAACTTTAAAATTCATTCGCTTAATTCTAAATTAATTTCATCCTTACTGAAACAATAACTTTCTTGTCACTTATCTTTTAAGAAACCATATGTGTTCCACTTCCAATGATGTCCAAGCCAAATTCAACGTAATAGTTCGGTATATAAATGCAAAAGTCCCTGTTACAATACCACATTAAAACCATGATAGCGAAAAAAAAATAGAAATAGATCGTGTGATTATGATCAGAATTTATTAGGGTGATAAGTAGTAGAAAAGGGTTTCAAAATTGGAGTTCCTGAGTAAAGCAAATATCAATTATCTTTACGCTATTTTTTCAACCAATTTTCAAACATGGCACGCAATGTTTATAACAGTTGGTTGAGAAAGTTGAGGGAATGTAACCCTGTAGTTCGCATCTATCAATATGGTTCAAACTAACTTTCAGTGAATTCATGAGCTGACATCAAGCTACTAACTTATCGTCTCCACGTTTTTTCGAATCTACTTGCAGACCAGTGAACGTCGTTTACGGTAGATGGTCGTTGGATATGCGTAATACATGTTTCAACACATCAGTTGCTGAAGACCTGTTACATCATCAACCATTTTGTATTTTTGAACAGTAACCCAAAAGCTACTAAGCCGATGGCTACAGCATGCTCCGCTGGCCTTTCAAAGACATTTATGATCAAATACTAGTTTCATATATGTCACAGTCAGAATGTAAGACAGAACGAAGTGCTTGCAATATCGTTTATGACTGACTGACAGATCCAATCATGGAAGAAGATAACGTTGATCAATGTATGTTTTCGAGTGATTTAAAACAGTTCACTGCCTAATAGGAGATAAGTTATTCACAAAAATTTCTTACGATTGTATAACACTGTTAATGTCCAACAACAAAATACTGTCAATTCACATACTACAACCCTTATCGTTCGAAAACGTAACTACTTATACCTAATAAGTAGTAAGAATAACAAATTAACATAAATGATACAATTGTAAGGTAATTAATGAAATATGCTAGAATTCATGAAAAGCATGTCAAGTTCACTAACCTGGAACATACTCCATCACAATCATAATTGGATAAGATTGAACTGCAATACCAATTAATTTGACAATATTTGGATGATTGAAATTTAAAGCAGTTGTTTCACCTTGGAGAAATTTCCTACGTAAATCTGATGCTGTCATATCGACACGACAAGTTTTCACTGCAACTTCATTTCCATTATATACACCTCGGTAAACATCACCAAAGTTACCCTGTGAAAAACGAGATGTAGAATAAAATAAGCAATACACTTTATCACATGAATTATTATCATTATTTTAACACTTAGATATTGGTACAAGGAGGCACCAAATACATATGCGCCATACAAATCTCATTTGATATGTCTGAGGGCTGTGATACTGCCTGGGTGCCCAAACCGAAGCAGGTGGTTTTCTTAGAAGACAACACCCGGAGCCTTTGATCTGAAGGTCTGATCCAAAAGTCAGTGGAGCATCGTAAGGAGATGCAGTCCCATGGTAACCGGTGACCAAAGATTGATTCATACGCCATTTGTTCCTTAAGGATACTGAAGACCATGTGCACCATTGGTTTGGAATGGGGGTTTTCCAACTTCCCTAAGTGAACTCTCCATGTCCACTAACCCGGTTAAAGCGCCGGACGTTCGCTTTCCATCCTCTCAATTTCGTAAACAACACCCCCGCCACGAGAAGGCAGTGAGTAGGACTTCCCTGGCAGAGGCTATATACGTGTGTCCATGTGAGAGCATTTCAAGAGGGAGAGCGGACTCTCCCCACTCTCGACCGTACCAGGTCATTTGGGGGCATGTATGTAATTGAAAAGCGATTGGAATCAGGTGTTTCCTTTGTTGAAGTACAACTAAAAATTAACATATGTGATTAGAGACATTCAAACAAGATCGGGAGACGTGTGTAATTTTCACAGTTACGCTATAGAATTATTTTTTGACGACGAGATAATGTGAAAATAAACAAAGAACCCTAATTCTTAATTAAGATCGCCAACATGAAAAAAATCTTGTTTCGAAATTTCAAACACAGACATTATGCGTCACAGTAGCCGGAGGATAAACTTGTCTAGAACATATGCCAATAACCCTAATCGATGAAAATTCAGACTGAGACTGACTTGGCACTGTTACGTAATAACTTAGGCTAAGAGTTCATGTGTCTTGAAGTTCCTGTTAAATACGTGCAATACTTCCCAAACAATTGTAACCGATCTAAGCAAGCGTAACATTTCTCATCTATTCCATAATATGAAAACTTTACAAAATAATAAACATAAGAATGATACTATTTAAATCGATGAATAACTTATGAGTTACAATGTCTAAAAACATACTTGACCAATTTTTTGTAGTAGTTGTACATCACGATTGTCTAGTTCCCAATCAGGTCTTGAAATTGGTGTAATAAGACATGCACCTGATTTTGCTGTCACGGGAGTTTGAGTTTTCATATGATATTCAACCAGTTCCCTGCAGAATTTTAGTTATTAAACAAACATCAAATGTGATTATTCAAGGGAAATTTCAGAGCTGATAATAAACTTAAGAAAAAAAATCTTTGCTAATTACACAGAAAATGTCAAAAATAAATACCTTAAGGCCTCATCCAACTTTCGCAAGATCGCTAGAATCCATCTCCGAAACACATGTTCACCAATAATATAACTTAAATGATTGAAAACGTTTTGTACTAATTTGTTTACGAACAATACATAGACCCACTATTGTCCAACTCAAACCACACCTAACATATTTCGAAGGAAACACTACCCTACTCACGAGTAGTAACCATCACTGAACCAAAAATACTCATTATGAATGTCCACTGAGCAGTGAAAAACGTATCTGTAAGACATGGATCAATGTTTTGTGCTAGTTTATATTTATTTATTTATTTGAACACATAAATTTTGGTACAAGAGGGCACC